TTCTCGGGATGGATAACTTGTTTTTGAATAATCACGGCCAGCAATAGTTTTTGTCTCAATCAACGCATCCATTTGATTATCAAGCCAAACACAGTGGAGTATGGAGAAAAATGAATAATCGCTTTTATTATTGTTGATATGTTCACTAACCTAACATTTTCCACGTCTTGTTCCTATACCTGACACTGGCGCGGTATTTGCCATTAGAGCACCTGGTCCATACACAAATATGTAACTCTATGGTTGTATTTATATTGAAACTACAATTCGAACGTCCATGAAAATTGAATAAACCTGCTGTTATTATTCGTTGCATTGCATACATACATGAAACGGCATTGGTGGTTACTTCACATATTTATTTGAGTTAATTGTCTCGGTTGCAGGAAACATAGCATGTTTCATTCGGATCAGGAGTGACTTTTGATCCTGATAAAACAATCGACTATTTTCAGAATGAATAGTTTTTATCGCCTCCTGGATATTTTATAAAAATGGAGCTCCTCCCTTTCTGCGCCGCCGTAGTTTTTAATAAATTGTGGTAGCTGTTCAGTAATATTTTAATCGCAAACAAGCATCAACATGGAGCACTCCTTGCTCAGAGCATGAAAAAAGGATCAGAAAAAGGAATTCATTTTTTTTAATAGTTCTCGAAAGCCGTGAGGTTTTTACTGCGAGTTCAAGTTGTGTTTATTTGATGAAATCATTGATAAACTTTATTTTCCTCTTAAAAGTAACAAAAACCATATTGGAATTGTCAAGAGACAAAACAATTCAATATATTATTCAATCCTTAGGTAAGTTGAATAATTTTTGAGGGGGTAGTAACATGATGATGCCAAGAATTCATTGAGTTGGCTTTTGAAACAGTTAATCTTCACGATTGTCTTCAAGTTATTGGATAGACTATTGAGAAGCTTCATCAGTGCTGAAAAATTTGGTGCATGAACTCTGATTCAAACTATTCTGAGTTTTGGGAAAAGTACATAATAATAATTTTTCTGCCGAGTATGATAATCATGAAGGTTATGAACTTGTTTCGTTTCGTTATTGCGAATTGATAAGTTAAAAAAATGTTACTTAAACAACTTCATATCTATTCACTTGTTCACTTGTTCAATGACGAAAAAAGACATATTTGCAGAAGGACAGATAACATGAAATGGAAGGACAATGAGAAACACATCAATGTTCCATTGTCGAAAAAATGATGTCATTGATATGAATCTAAGTATCTACAGGATGTCTCACTTTCAATATCCCAACTATTAGTTGTGCGATTCGTACCAGATGGATCGGTAAGAATAACCATCCATGTATGATCAGTTTTTCAGAGACGAACATAATTTTGGACAGTGCCGTACGTTTTTATCGGGATAAAGAACGGCCATTTTTTATGAAATCATATAGGTAAGATACTTTTGCAGGAAAACTAATATTATATTATTTTTCGTCATGCTTTTGAAGAAAAAACAGAATATACATTTTTTTGTCGAATAAATAATTGTATCCATCGAAAAAATGCTGAAATTCGATTGATAACTCCTAGAATTGAATTGGCTATTCTGGAATAAATTTTTTTTATGTTCTGGTTTCCACGAAAAGAGATATCCTGTAATGTTCATGGAACATCGTGGGAACTAAGGCAAATAAGGTAGGAACTGGTGTTCTTCTTGAATTTCTGGAGGTTATATGCCTTCGGGAACCTTCCTTGCCAATGTGTTCCAGAGCCTCGCTGTTCGTTGGATGAACGAGTCTTTGGAAAGAGATGTTCTACAGGTCTCCAAACTGATCACGAAGGGATGCGAAGCCTAAATTGACGCTTTCTGTAAAAGAAGTGACTATTCCGAAATACAATTGAAGCTTTCTCAAACTCAATTGAATATTCTGTAATACAATTGATACCCTCCAAAATACAAGTGACTATTCTAATACAATTGACGCTTTCTGACGTGCTATACACATTGAAAAAAAATAACACCAGTTTGCGTGTTTCCAGAGGTTCTGTTTATTTTAGTGATTATTCCAGAGAATTAACACTGATATTTTCAACACCATCATAACGTGTCGTTCGTACTAACATAAAGTCAAGAACCACACTATAGTACCTAGTGCTAATTTGATCTCTGAGCTGATACTATTTGAAGGCTGTCGAGAGACGAGCGTCGAAGGAGCGATAGGGTCGCCATCGCCACTCAATACATTTTTGTGCACAAAATTCATACTTTGATATTCAATTCTATTCTATTCAATCTGGTTCGATATAAGTACTCTATCTAGCTTCTCAATCTCAAAATCATCATATATAAATCGACTTAAAATTTATCTAACGCATTATTTTCACGAAATCATCCGTTTATATTGTAACCTATTGGTCTGGATACCAGAATTCGTTGATGATGATATACCTACAACATTTTTACCCATTCTTCAATGAGTTTGAGTTTTTCAGGGGGTAATTTCAACATCAGCAACATTATTTATTCGCATGGGAGAATGCAAGACGATGTGTTATATATATCAGCTCCAAATCTCATGATTCATACACGGTTTTGATTTATTCGTGATTGGTCAGGGTGTAAATAGGTGTTAATTTCATATAATAAGTGTATTTTTTGCGTTAACTTGAATAATACCACTATCGAAAGTAATACCTTTTCATCCTTTTGGTGTTTCTTTTGAATAGATATTTTAGAACCTCTCTAAATTACCATATTCGTGGTTTCAATCGGAGTTATTTCTGGAATTCACTCGATTGAAATTACACCCGATAATTTTTCACAGTGTACGTACTAATTGATTAGAAACTTCTCATTCCAGATATAGGTGATTTGATATGGACCATCATATTGGAGAAATGGTAATTTGAATAGGCAGTTTTCTACCATATAGATGACATCAAAAAAAGGTAACGTTCCTGCTAGGGGAGGTAGAACACTGCAAAATAAGTCGGGTGCTAGTCGGCGGTAATAACACACGGTGTGTAGCAAGTAATTTCAAGCATCACTTTTTTGAAGTTAGATTTTTTAGACCAAATATCATGTAAACATGGACCTCATTCCCATTCTCCTCAGATTGGATATGACATCCAGAGTAAAGGAAAATTTTACAGTTCGTCCTCTACCTGACCTACAAAATTATAGAAGTCAGTAAATTCAGTGTCAATGGTGCGGCAATCAAGATATGGATTGAACTTCACTATCAACTCTGATAAATAATTCAGCAAGAGAATTTAACAGCTCCAGTGGTGGAAATCACAATACTAGCGGTTCGAAATATCGGATGCTGTGCTGATTGATCTCAACTTTTCGCATTTTGGTTTCACTATATAATTCCTTATAGTAGGAAGTAAGGTCGTTTTAACGTGAGCGTGTGTTGAATAATAATAATAATAATAATAATATTTATTTCACTAGTTAAAAAGTACAATGCAGAAGCCAAAGCAGTTACAGTGTACAATGACTAGGAAAAAGTCACAGGGAGTTAAAAGTTAGCAACACAGAAAATTTGTTTTTTTTTGTAAATAGGAAAGACAAACACGAAAAATGTACAGTTGTATAAATAAGTATATACATATAATTAACTATTGTAATAATGCGATTCAGCTTGAAAATTCTTCGATGGTGTAGCAATTTTTCTCGACGAGGATTCTTTTCAGAGCAGATTTGAAAATATTTATGTTAGGTAAGAGTTTAATTGCTTCGTCTAGATAATTGAATAATTTAGGTCCTAGATAGAGATGACTTTTTTGATAGAGAGAGGTTCGATGTGAATTGGGTAATAGATAGTAATGTTTTGAACGAGTGGAATATTCATGAGCTGGTCGATTGGATGAGAACATAGGTCTGTTTTTATAAACGTAGATGCAGACCTCGTAGATATACAATATTTCTGTGATGAAAGTTATACAGTGATTCCAAATGTTTGTATCGACTATTTTTTATCTTCGTGTAATGAGCGCAAAAGTCCACTGAAGGCGATATTTTCGCAAATTTTGCGATTTTTTTCCGTTATGAAAGTTAGCAAGACAGAAAACTTGTTTTTTTTGTAAATAGGAAAGACAGACACGAAAAGTGTACAGTTATCTAAATAAGTATATACATATAATTAACTATTGTAATAATGCGATTCAGCTTAAAAATTCTTCGATGGTGTAGCAATTTTTCTCGACGAGGATTCTTTTCAGAGCAGATTTGAAAATATTTATGTTAGGTGAGAGTTTAATTGCTTCGTCTAACTTATTGAATGATTTAGGTCCTAGATAGAGATGGCTTTTTTGATAGAGAGAGGTTCGATGTGAATTGGGTAATAGTAATGTTTTGAACGAGTGGAATATTCATGAGCTGGTCGATTGGATGAGAACATAGGTCTGTTTTTATAAACGTAGATGCAGACCTCGTGGATATACAATATTTCTGTGATGAAAGTTATACAGTGATTCCAAATGTTTGTATCGACTATTTTTTTCCTTCGTGTAGTGAGCGCAAAAGTCCACTGAAGGCGATATTTTTGCAAATTTTGCGATTGTTTCCAGTTATTGAGCGACATTTTTGATATGCCAGTTTTTTAAGCATCCAGTGCAAGCTGACCGCAGATGAGAAATCAGTAGAGAACATTTTCAATCCTGAATAAGGAACTTGAGAGAAAAATATATTAGTAGGATCGCTCAAAACCTAAAAAGATGATGACTGATCGTATATTCTAATGAATTGAAATACAAGACACAGCACTGGGCGTCGTTGATTTGTTCCGACTTATCTCCCTTTGCTCTGCTCTGCTTTTAGCCATCAGAATCTAGTTGATTCCATTCAAACGATTTTGTACTTATTTTTAATTTACATTTGTGTTGTGACGATTATACGATAGGTATCTTCTCTATAAATATTCGGAATTGATACGTTGACAATTTGACTTATTCCGAAGGTCATCCGTTTCCATCATCAATATATGATAGCGGTATCATCAAAATACCTATATATACGCATTTCATCGACCAGCACCATACTAGCAGCACACTGACATTTTGAATATTAGAAATATGGTTTTCGAATTGAAAGGGAAGGTGGCTCTGATAACCGGTGGTTGTGCTGGTATTGGCTTCGGAATAGCAAAGGAACTGTTGCGGAATGAAGTTAGGGTGAGCGTTCTTTTTTTTTATTATACTCGTACAATTTTATCTACAGTGTGACCCATTTAAGATGGAAGCACCCTTATAAAACTTTCATTTTTCAACCGATTGGAATGATTTTTTTTTGTTAGGTAGATATTCAAAAAGTCTATTAGGACACCAAATATCATGAATAAATCTCCATTTCCAGGGCCAACTAATCCGATTTTTCAAGGTCAAAGATCTAAAAAAATTACTAGCGATTTTTATAGAAAAAATCTGACTACACCACTGGATTTGTGACATTTTCAAATGGGTAACATGTAAATAACGTTGAAATGCGTCAATCAATAAAAAAGTTATAAAGGAATGAAATTTGAAAAATATGCCGTTTAATCAACCCACCAATTCATGTTCAGGAATTTTATGAAAATTCTGTATACTCCACTGGATTCAGGATGTCTTGAAATATTACTGATCACAGTTTCATCGAAATCTGTTCAGTAATAAAAATTGATGGGTTGATTGAACGGCATATTTTTAAAATTTAATTCCTTTATAACTTTTTTATTGATTGACGCATTTCAACGTAATTCACATGTTACCCATTTGAAAATGTCACAAATCCAGTGGTGTAGTCAGATTTTTTCTAAAAAAATCGCTAGTAATTTTTTTAGATTTTTGACCTTGAAAAATCAGATTAGTTGGCCCTGGAAATGGAGATTTATTAATGATATTTGGTGTCCTAATAGACTTTTTGAATATCTACCTAACAAAAAAAAAATCATTCCAATCGGTTGAAAGATGTAAGTTTTATAAGGGTGCTTCCATCTTAAATGGGTCACACTGTATATGGTTGCTTTAACCCTCACGCTCATACTGTATTCAATGGAATACACTCAATCCCTAAATTTGTTCTGAGTAGAAACTGAAAAAATAACATGCCAGTTTATGATCCATTTCAATCGACCATCCATAATATTCGATATCGACCATGTGCTAGGATCTGAGCAACGTAGCAACGATATTTAAAGTCATACGAGGTTGTAGTAAAACAGAGTCCGAGCTGTATACTAACTTATAGCTGCTATTTATGTAAATCAAAACTTGATAAAAATAAATAGAACAGGTTGTTCATCGCTGTTATCCATTGATGAAACATAACTAAGTGGATTAACACCTGAAGTTCCGAAATCGTTGAAAAGTTATACATAAAATTCATTGAAAATTGATGTAGGAATTCAGTGTGAACAGAAGGTTGTGAAAATCCTCTTGGATATAATACTTACTTTATATATTACTTTCTCGGAAAACATTATCATTTTATTATGAGAAGTTGAGAAAGCAATCTGAGGAGTTTATTGAGTGATGATTGGTTGTTGAAAATTTTATAAAGTAGTATTTCTGACATTGAATTTCTCATCGATGACGATAATGACGATGGCTCACCGAAAAGAACTAGAGTCGAGACCCAACTAATCTCAGACGTTATATAATATATTTTTTCTACTCACATAACTAAGATAGCATTTAGCGTACGGATATGTACCACGCTAAATGATCGATTAATCACGGATTGTCGATCTGTGATTTATTCAAAATATTAAACACGTTACCATGGCAACACGATTTCTTAAACACATTACCATGGCAACGCAGTTCATTAAACACAGCTTCAGTAATTTGAGACATGTCTGGCCTGTCAATTGTATTAACTGTCAACTGTTATTTTCGAATTTCGTATCAGAATTATTCAAACAATATTCGTTTGTATCATAATTCTTCATTAAAAATATATGCGAAGTAGATGGAAGCGAAATCGAAGAGAATGTTCTGGTACTTATGCATATCTCCAAGAAGTGTAAAAATGAAGCATCCATCTTTGAGAACAATTTATTTATTCTGCGCTAAGCATGACAATGAAGGTGAAACAAAGGTTAGTAAGCAATGGACTGGACACATCTACAACCAATATCACTTATACGTGTCTCGCTAGTTGCATGCAGTTGCATGTATCATGTTCTCAATTCCCATTCCTTTAAAATTATTTTGTAGGTTATAGCAGGAATTGCAGGTATGCTTATGTAATTTTCGGAGTTCGTAGAAAAATCATAGTATGTAACGCGTTTATAAACTCTTCTAGACACTCGTTTATTAAACACTCGCTCACATAACTATGTACCACGCTAAATGATCATTTAATCACGGATTGACGATCTGTGATTTATTCAAAATATTAAACACGTTACCATGGCAACACGATTTCTTAAACACATTACCATGGCAACACAGTTCATTAAACACAGCTTCAGTAATTTGAGACATGTCTGGCCTGTCAATTGTATTAACTGTCAACTGTTCTTTTCGAATTATGTATAAGAATTATTCAAACAATTTTCGTTTGTATCAGAATTCTTCATTCAAAAATGTATGCGAAATGTAGACGAAAGTGAAATCGAAGAGAATGTTCTGGTACTTGCATATCTCCAAGAAGTGTAAAAATGAAGCGTCCATCTTTGAGAACAATTTATTTATTCTGCGCTAAGCATGACGATGAACGTGAAACAAAGGTTAGTAAGCAATGGACTGGACACATCTACAACAAATATCACTTATACGTGTCTCGGTGGTTGCACGCAGTTGCATGTATTATGTTCTCAATTCCCATTCCTTTCGAATTACTTTGTAGGTTAGCAGAAATTGCAGGTATGTTAATGTTATTTTCGGAGTTCGTAGAAAAATCATAGTATGTATCGCGTTTATGAACTCTTCCAGGCACTCGTTTATAAAACACTCGTTACTAAAAGGACGTTTATAACACTTGTTACATAATATACTATTATAGAACTATAAGGTCAACTGATTCACCTGTAAGGAAGATTGATCTGAATTATGCTTCAGTCTCATCCGAAGATTACAAATAGGTATGCTTTTATACTTGTAGTTGCAATACTTTGCAGCGTGGCCAAGCTTACACATTTTATCGTCACTGCTAATTTCTGATAAAGATAGAACGTTGGGGGTTGGGGTTTCGGATGGGTCGGATTTGTAATATTTTGGATGAGACTGAAGCATATTCCAGAACAATCTTCCAAACAGGTTAGTCAGTTGATTTTATAATTATTATACTTCAGTCTCATACTCGATAAAAATATAGGTATATGCTTGTACTTGTAGTTATTTGAAGAAACAATGCATAGGTACAATCATCTATAAAAAAACTGTGTTTATTATTAATAGGGATATAGGGTGTTCAAAAGTTAAAATAGGGATTTTAATAATTAAATATAAAATCTGAATATCGGAATGATGTTCGTGGAATGAGGAAGCTTTTTTCAATATTTTTCATTAAAAACACTTAAGATTTCTAATAACTCGATAACGTTTCAACAATCTGCTATATCTGAATCTCCGGAAATCAAGAGGACATTTAAACCCAGGCAGCACAAAAAGGTCCAGAAGATATCATGAAGATATCCTTCTAGGAAATTGTGATGACTTTTGTATATATCTCCTCCAAATGTCCGCAACCTAGGATGAGCTCGGCGAGGTCTTGAAGATATCCCACGCAGAAATTCTCATACAATGCCCTCAGGCGAGCACTTTGAGATATACGCATCAATCGCCACTGGCGAGAACTGAAAGTGCTCGCAATTATGAGCTGTTTGAGAAATTCGCATACAGCTTTGTGACGAAGACATTGGGAGATTCGCATCAATTGCTTCTGGTGAGGTCTTAAACTGCTCGCGACTACGAGCTGTTTGAGATATTCGCACGCATAGCCTTGTGAAGAGGACTTTGGGAAATTCGCATCAATTACAAATGGCGAACTCTTCAAGTGTTCGCAACTATGAATTGTTCTAGCGCCAGCTATATTGTTTGGGGTGAAGTTAAATTTACTCGATATTCATTTCAGCGCCGACGAAAAAGTTACCAAACTTCTAGATCAACGTATTGAGCTTTAATTAAATATCATTCTATCAAAATGGAATATCTGTCATTAATCTTTCGAAACCAAAATCCAATTCATACTTCCTATCTGTGAATTTTTTTCACTTATGGGCGGAAGCCATTTTTCATTTAAGTAACGTAAAAAAGTCACAAAATGTTCATGTTTTTGTTGTTATCAATTAACAAAACACCAAGTATGTGCTATAACGTTGTATTCCGAATAGATTGACTCGCAATATGCTATTTGAAAATAAGAACTGATTAGTATCTACCATCAGGGGGCTGCCAAATATCTTACATTTATCAAATGTTTTTGATATCTTGACAAATAAGCGAGATATTGCCTGTTCACGATACCTTGGGTGGGACAACCAGAATTTAAATGTTAAAGGCTATTGAAAAAAATATCTCAATATTTTTGTAGGAATATTCATTTATTATTCAGGTTATGTTTGTGATTACTTTAAGAGCTCGCAATGAGAAATGCTCTATCTTGTTACGTACAGGATATCCTTGGGTACACGCAGAGAGAAACGCCTATTCATTTCCTATTATAGATAACCTCAAGGATTCGCGATTATATGGAATATTCCAAATCTGAGGCGAGATCTTCGCGATTCCTTTCGGACGACTGCAGAGAGTATTTTCCATGGTGACAGCCTATAGTGATCTTTGGCATCTCGCAGGAGGATTTCGCATTTTGATCCTGAAGATCAGAGATATCGCGGAGAGTTCCGTGTTACCTGGGAATATACCTTTTTGTATCAGTTTTTGAACAGGTGGTTTCATTATGTTTGTGAACACGTATTATGGGGCTGAAGACAAGCCAAAAGGAAGTCAAATCTTAGAAAATATTTTCCATAGTTTTTGTGAATAGAAATCTGAAAACATGCATCTTTCAGATCTACAGATGTCATACATCCTCCATTTTGAAGTGAGGTGGAGATATGAATTCATTGAGCTTTTTCAACTTCAACTTATGAGCGCCGGAATTATTATATTATATTTGTGATACATGTTTTGGAAAATTAACATGTATAACTACATTGCATTTTGAACACATTGTCATTTTCAAAGTC